TTAGCCTCCCTCTCCCACCCCTGCCCACGCAGGTGGGCTTGGTGGCCGCCTTGCGCAGTCCCACCCCCCTCGGCTACTGGTCTTCCCTGGGCTCAGCCCTGGCGAGGGGGAGGAGGGCGTGCAGCCCAGGCGGCAGGGCTGGGGCTGTGCTGCTGGGAGCATGCTGGGGAGCGGGAGGTCTGACGACGCTCTGTGCCTAGGGCTTGCTGCGCGGCCCCTGAGGGACCAAAGCAGGGAGAAGCTGGCTGAGATCGACAGGGGTGAGTAGGGAGCATGGTCTGGAGGGGACGCCTGGGGGTCTCTGCAGACACGGGGGGTCATCTCGGCTCTGTTTCTTTCGGTTGCAGCTCTTCAGCCCATGCAAGAAGACAGCGAACCCGCCATCGGTTCCCTGGCGCTTCAGACCATCTTCATCCTGAACTCTCCAAGGGTGCAGCAGACATGGGGACGCAGCCTGCGAGCACTGTGCTGCGGGTGCTGCTGAGCCAGGCAGAGGTGCAGCTTTCCTCGGGAAAGCGGCTGTATTTTAATAAAGCTGGAACAACAAGCCCAAACCCACAGTGTCCTTCAGCTGTCGCGTGCTGAGCAGACAGCGTCATCCCTGGCCTGTCCCGCTGCCTGCAGGACAGCTCGCCCCTCGGCACGCCCTGGCCCCAGGCTTGTTTTGCACGTTTACCCCTCGGCGAGTCTTTCTCCAGAAGAAGCCGCGTTTGTTCACCCCCTGGGGAAGTCTTTTCCTTAGGGAGGCAGAGGGCAAAGGGGAAATGGCAGCCCCCGAAGGAACTGGGATTGCCCGGAGAGCTGCCTGACGCCCACACTTGCCAGCAGCCCTCCAGAAGTTCTCCTTTGCTTCAGTCCCAGAGTCCTTCCCCACGCACAGCAGCCTGGCCTGCGGGGATGCTGCTTTGAACGACGGCCCTGGGAAGGCCTCAGGTCGCAGCCCCATCTCATGGCCCTGCAGCAACCCTGCTCACGCTTCCCCTCCCACAGCTCAGCTGAGACCCAAGAGGAGAAGCAGAGGTGTGCCACAGGGGCCTGCAGTCCCCTCCGTCACGCAGCGAGGGTAGGGCGCAGGAAGGGTGCGCCCAGCTCCGGCCATCCTGTGGCTCTCCAGGCATCCCAGCGAGGCCCCAGCATCCGCTGTTGCTGCTTCACCACTTCCCCGCCCCATGATGGACTCGGGAGGGTTTCCAAGCAGAGTCCAGACGTGGTAAGGGGGCAACTGCGGGGGGACTAGAGGACAAACAGAGTGCCTCCGTCACCATGAATGCCTCACAAGTGGTCCTCTGGAGACCAGGGGGCTCCTAAGAAGGCTGGACGAGCAGCAGAAGGCTCTGGGGCATCACAAAGACCTATGGAGGAGTGCCGAGGGGACTGAAGTGGTGTATTGTAGAGCTAGGGGACCAGGCCCCCAGTGCAGTGGGGCTTCTTAGGGTGCTAGAGGTCCCGCAGAGGGGCCTGGGGGGCAATGAAGGCCTCAGGAGGGATCCTGAGAGGCCTAGAGCGATGCTGAGACAGCTAGAGGGCAAACGGAGGAGTGTGCCCGAGAGCCCTCCACTGGCCCCAGTGAAGGCCAACGGTGGGCTTTTGTGTGCAATGAGGGCCAAGGGCCGGTTCCTGAGGCTCCAAGGGAGGGCGCAAGGAGGCTAAGAGAGGGCTGCTGCGGGGACCAGTGGGCAAACTGAGGCTTCTAGAGCACATCAGAAGGCGCACTGGGGTGCTGAGAGGTTCCAAGGGGGCAACTGTGTCAGGCTGAGGCAAGCCCAAGCCATCCTCCTCTCTTTGCCCCCACAGAGGCTGAAGTGCAGCCCTGCCACACGGGCCCAGGGCTCCTTCACCCCGGTGGTACCACACAGCCATCCCCCCGTGGGCAGCAGGCAGCCGCGGCCGGCCTGAACGCATGCGTGCGTAGCAGCTTCGGCAGTGCCGGTACCAGAGCGCTGAGGCGGCATTCCTGCTCCGCCACTGCAGCACCTGGTGGGCAACAGCTGCCATTTCCCCCCCGCTTCCCACCCTGCTGCCCTGACAAGCTCCGAAGCCGTGGTGGAGGCACCAGGCTCCTCGTGGAGCGGAGGGGAGAGATGGCAGTCCCGAGGCACAGAGTGAGGGGCAGAGGCCGCGGTCTCCTGTGGAAGAGCAATGTTCCTCCCAACTTCAGCCACGTTCACCGGGAGAGGCCAATGCTCCAAACGACAGCAGCGAGGGGAGGCAGCAGGAATGAGGGCGGGTGAGAAGGAGCATGGCCTTTATTCTTTCCCTGCCTCAACTACTGCTCCACTGTTGCCCCCTGCTCACCTAAGGTTATCCTTTACAGCACTGGTTATGTCATCCCCCCATTTTTTTCCCCTCCACAATCTTTCTGAAGGAGTAATTGCTTCAGAAGCAGCTTCCTGCTGCTTTCCACATTTTTATGCTTCTATTATAGAGACGTCAGGAGTTAAGAGTCATTCTCCAATAGCCTCAACCTCTTAAAACAACCTGGAGAAACACACCAAACCCCAATTCCATTTCCAAGGGAGAAATACTTAAATCCAGTATGCCCCTGCTAATGCATGCAGAGAAGGATGATGCTAGCACAGCTCATACTGGTTTGACGCTCTTCTAACGATAAGATGGACAACCTGGGAGCAAGAGAGAACAGCAGTTACAGAATGGACTAACACGCCGTCTCTGCCTGTGGTCCAAGAGCCAGCAAAAGGGGTAGGCTTGGCTGCTGTGATACCTGTGTTAGGTACATACATGCTATGAAGTGTCAAAATACAGCATTTGCAGCTACAGTCCCTGAACCCCACCTGATGCTGCTCAGCCACGCAGCATTTTCATGTTTAACAAGTAGGAACCAAATAAAAGGGCATGACAGAAATTGCTACTGGCAGAAAATGGCAGGATATTACCAATAAACAGATTTAATGTACAGGTGGGTTGAGCCGCTCATGATACTCATAGCAATCAGGCTGCAGTGATTAAGAAAACCATGTTCAAATTCCAGCATTGAATTTTGTGTCTGGCCAAAGACGAGTTAAATTTGCTGTCTGGAATAGGTGGGGATTACAAGAGCATTTCAAATCAGTGACCATAGGCAGGTTCAGGTGGTTGTACCTTAGGAGTGCCAGTGATGAGTCTGCGGCCCTGGAAGGCAGACAGAAGCCAGAAGAAAATCCAGGAAAGCACGGACACAGTCATCATCATCTACATAACAAGAAGCATCCATTTGCACAGTTGCACATATAGCTTTTTTTTTTTTTTTTTTAAGAAAACTAACATAAGTGTAGCTGCATAGTCTTACCTCACTGTCACAAATATGCCTGATAACAGAATCCCTTCAAATTACTTTTTCCTCCATTTATGGTTGAGTATCAAAACAGAACATAGGCCTCAGCAAATCTGTGCATCACAGAAACATCAAAAAATGCCTCATACTTCAGTAGTTTGTAAGACTAACTATTAAAATTTAGTACTTAATTCCTGTGTGGTTAAACAGCATTTGGCTGTCTGCCAGGTAACTTTTCTTGGTCCATTCTTTCATATCCAAACAGGAGAAATATTTCAAGTCTGTTAAAGGGACAATCTTAGGAAAAATACTTTTCTTTCTGTTAATTGCTAAGTTGCGACACAATCACCTTAAAAGACACAAGCCAGTCCCTCAGCTTGCAAGCCTCTCCTGTCAATTGCTTTCACATTCCATTTCTTGAGGTTTAATAAATAAAAGGTATTCATGTTTTCTCTTGTTTTGCTTTCAAAGCCAAGTATCAAAACAACGCCAAAAAAAATCACCAACCAATGAGGATGGCAGAAGGGACATTTTGTTTAGTTGAGGTCACTGGCTCCTTGTAGGCTTTGTAAAAGTTATTTCAAAACCTAAACTTCAGGCCCATCTTGATCTGACAGTATCCCTTGAAACAAAAGGAACATTTCATTATTCAATATGATGTGTTAAAATTACTTGACCAGACACATTCACATAATTCATCTATCAGCCACTTACATTACACTTCATGCATTATTACAGAAATAAGAGACTGATATAAAAGCCATCTGAAGATGCAGTGTCACAGTGAGATAGTGCAGTGTGCCTCAGCACACAGAAGCTTTAATCTGTGGGTCCTCAATCAACAACTTTACCAACAAAAAAGAAAAAAAAAGACCTTCACCAGTACACTTTCAGAGGGGGAGACTATGGCATGGTTTTCAGCATAGCAAAAACGTGCACAGTGAAACACATCTAATTTCAACTGGTTTGTGAAGTTTTACAATTTAGAAAGAACAAAACCAGGTCATCTTCCTGCCCAAACAAAGCTAAATCTGACTACCAAGAACAAGAGGAGGTTTCTCAAAGGCACAGTCTCGACAGATAACAGCTGTTACAAAGCAAACAACATGAGTTCGTATTTCTGTGCCACTGAATAATTGAGAGAATATGCTAAAGTACTTAAAGTACTTCAATTTTCTGTCTCCTTTTTTAAGAGGTTTTTTTTTTTTCCTACTGTGGGCAACCTCTGCTAATTTTACTTGTTTTGTGAGCAGCACATATACAACATACCTATGGCAAAAAATAACTCAGTATTGAGAAACTAGTAACTTCTTAGAACAAATCATTCCTTGAAGAGATGAGTAGTTTAAGCTGCTAAGTGACTCTGCTGTGAGAAAGGAAGTCTGAGGATCCTGAGAGCACAATTTTGCTGCTGGTTGGTAACCAAATGAAAAAATAGTGCATTTCACCAAAGTCAAACCTAGTAGAATTTAGCTATGCTGCTGCCTTGATACCAGAGGTGTACGCTATAAAAGAACCAGTAAAAAAATCTTGTAAATCACACACTTATATTTAATATATTGAAACAAAATAGTTAAGAATGCAAGAACTGTATACAGATTAAAAAAATATTTTTTAAACCATCTGATCTTAAAAATAGACAATAGTAGTGAAGCTTAAAATACAACCACTCGCATTAAAATGTTTCAAGCAATACCACCTTGGTGTGTCCTGTTCCATCAAATGGCCATTAAGATAACGGATCCGTTGTTAAAAAGGTTGTGTTGGTTGGAGTCACTTTTTCACAATCCAAATCTACAACAGTTTTTCCTTTGATGGAAGAGCCCGAGCATTCCTGGTGCAAACTTTCCCGCCTCTCTGCAAGTTTAGAAGTGGATCGAGCCATCGAGCCACTTTGGCTTCCATTGGTTTGAGAGCAGACATTATTAACTTTAGTAGTTTTATTTTTGTGGTGGTTGTTGTAGACTTTATATTTCATGAGGAGAATGAAGATGAAAACAAGAACCGAAGCCACAATGATACCCCCAATAATGATGATCATGGTTCCTCCAAGAAACTGCGCGTGAAGGGATCGGCACTGTTTGTATTCTTCCTGGGTTGTAAACTGCACGCATCCGATCACTCTGGTTGCGGTCAAAGATGTCAATCCGTCATCATAAACAGCAAGAACACAGAGGTCGTACTCACGTCCTGCAACCAGATCAGTCAAGAAGAAGGATTTACTAGCAGCTGGAATCATCCTGGAAGAGAAAATGAGTACAGTAAACATCCAAGTTTATCGAGCCTAAAGAGAGCTCTTTTGACTGTCAATGCCACTGTGAGGAAACTAACAGAGCAGAAGATGAGCATGGCAACTGGACCAAGCAGCAAAAATCTAGCATTCCCTAGGTTTCTCAGTAGAGGTGGAAGATACAGATTTTAGTGATGGCAATATCTTTACCATGGCTATTTCAAACAAACATGGACTAGAGTGCACACGCTCGCCAATGGCTAGAGGAGAAGTCACACTTGATCTATTGTTTTGATCTGCATTGTCTTAAATTTCCACAGTTTCAGCATAAAAGGGCATAACATGCCCTATGCAGAATGGAATACGGTCAGCCGTGCAAAAAAACGTAAAGGAACTGAAGCAACATACTTAAGGACTTAAATGGCAGAAAAGGATAAAACTAAACACTGTAAAATGTATTTTAGTAATTTTATATACACAGGAAGCACATTTTGAACATTGAGGGAAAAAGGCAAAATCAAACCTGTGGTCTACAGATTAACCTTATTTCCATCTTCTAACAGCTCTGTGATGCTCAGTGTCTCATAATCAGGTGACCAGTAAGAACAATCAGAGCAAAATGTAAGCACTTGCAACTAAGTGGTATCATCTGTAGCCCAATAACAGCATCTACTGAACTCCTTACCTTGATGCAGCCCTACCACTGAGATTGTTCTATGTCAATTCCAAATATTCCCTTACCACAAAGTAGCACTGGTACTAAATTGATGTATGAGAAGGATCCCCAAAGAAGAGTATATGCTATATTACAAATTCCCACAGACCCTAGTCATGAGCATACAAATCACAGTATCTCATTGCAGACCAGCTCTCCAGATGTTTGGCTCAGATTCCTCTCTGGAGTAAAGTAACACTGTTGCAGAGGAATAGGTGAAACTACATGCATTTATAGTGGGTGGGCACATGGCCGTCTTCTGGCCACAAAGGTGATGGTGGTGATGGTGGAGAAGACTAACTGCTTATCATACAGTCTTTTCGAAGTAGTCTTCCGTGGGACTAAGGACTCCACAGTGCTTAGACTGGAAAGAAAGAAGAGCTACACCTTCAAAAAACCATTCTCCAAACACATGGCTGCTACCACTTCATTTTTAACAACTAAATTTCTGTGACTGTGAAAAAACAAAACCACTCCCTTGTCGATGTACATGTGCCATCACAGATTCATAGAAACATTAAAGGAGGAGACCCCCAGAGCTCTCTAGCCCAGCTTCCCGTGCAGAGCAGTACTATCACAAACAGTAGATCAGATCAACCACACTTCTGCCTAGCCAACACTTGAAAACCTTCCATGAGCTCTCCAGGCATCACTCCAGCATTAAACTACCCTCCTAGTAGATATTTTTCCCCAAATGTCTGATCTGAATTTCCCAAACCATAACTCATAACCATTGCCCCAGCCTTAATTTATAACAGCAGCTTCACAGCCTCCAAAGAATGTGACCACGTGCTGGGTTTTAAGGCTAATGAGATTTTTACTGCAGGAAAAAACAGGGTTTGAGACGAAACTACACAAAGATTCATTTGTCAAACTGAAACACTCAAACAACTCCTAGCGTGTACATAATGAGATATTTGATCCAACATTAATGTAGGAGGAAACGTGCAAAGCTAACAACTGCTTCAGACCAGCAGAACAAGCCCTTGAAATTCCTCATGGCTGCTGTTACTCATTCAGAGTGCAGGCAATGCAGAATAAGGTCTCCCAGCTGCAAGCATTAACAACAGACTCCTCCCTTCTCTGCCCTGCAAGCATTACTTTATGGAACAAGCGTTTTGTCATGATTGTTGCTCTGCAGTTATACATCTCTTATACCTGCTGACCACTAAATCTTCAAAGTACGTCATGCTCCTTGCTCTTTCCTGTCTTACACAAATTTAATGCAGTGGTGTCATTATCCAACGTTACACCATGTTGAAGAAAACACCTAGGTTGTGTTGTCTCACTGGACTAGGACTCTGGAAAGTAATTCATTGATCCTTTGCTTTTCCAGGTACAATGTATGGTAGTTTGTAGCCAGCGATTCTCCCACACTCACCACGTGAACGTGGCCCTCGATGCTTAGGTGTGGCTGGTGCTTCGCAGAGCACCACTCGGTTGGCTTGACATTCACCTTCCTAAAACATATACCATTATCAATTACCACACAAATATCTAATAACTTTTCGGTCTTCTGTTCAGCCACATTTCACAGTGACCAGACACAACAAGAGAACACTGTGGCTCAGACTGGACTGCATTCCTCCCTCAGTTCAAACACCAAGTTACACTGAAACTAAGCAGAAGATTCTTGCTTGTCATGCAAAGGGATGTGACTGAGAAGATGGAGAATTTAGTTGCTTGCCTTCAAACACTAAAAGGCTTTGAAATCAGTCATGTGTCCCAGAAAAATACTTCTGGCAACTACATCCAACCATGGCACAAAGTCTAAAATCACTTGTCATCATCAAAACAGTCACTGAACCTCAGGGCACAATATGTAAAAAATTGAGGGATGTCATAGATAACTCTGCAGAAGAAGACACCATTAAAAAGACCAGCTAAGCAACAGGAAAGGAAACACCACACAGGAAGCATCTTTCTAGTCTTTAGGAGTCTGCCCATCTGTGAGAGGGAGGTGTCATTGCAAAAATTATGCAAAGTACAGTTTTCTGGCTTAATGTCCATATTATTTGCCTTATTCAGCAGCCTTTGATGTTCACTTTTCTTCTTTCAAACAACTTTCTGCAGTGCCTTATTGTCAGGATTATTCAACGAAGAGTTCTGTATTGAAATTTGACTAATTTCCATGGAAAGCTATGAACAGAATATGCTGTATTACAGTGTACCCAGCTATTGCTGAAATACTTTTATAGTAGCTGTCACCCAAAAGAGGATGTTCTAAATCTTCCTGATCTCCTGTGCAAATCTTCTGTACAAATGTTCAATAAGACCAAATATATATATTTGATTTCTATTGGCTTTTCTGGTAATACAAGGCTATTTTCAGCTCCATGAATAATGAGAACAATGTAGTCTTGATAAGGTTTCTTCACCGGCTAAGCAGTTATTCACAGACATGTCTCCCGGGAAAGGTAGCTATTTTAGCATATTTAGGAAGTTTCAAGGAAACCTCTACAAATGAGTAAGGACAGCTCACAACTGAGTAGGCAATCTGCCTACAGCCATGTCAGTAGTTAACCTCTGCATGTTTTCTCGCTTATGCCTACAGAGCATTTACTTCTGCAGTAGAGTATAGTGTTCCCTTTACCATATTTACTTTATTTCAGTAATGCTATAAATGATCAAATAGCAGTTAAATTCAATCAGCTTGACAAATTAGCACAAGCTTGAGTATAGCGGTTGTAACAAAGGCAGGTCTTTAGTGCCAGGCTGTGGTGAGTGGCGAGGACTTGTAGGAAAGGCCAGAAAGCATATGGGTAGATACTGGGAGCAAGCGTATCATCTGAAAGCTTTATCTTCTATCAGAACCCACAGACTACAGTTTAGAGAATGGCATCTTCAGAACAAACATCTCCATTAGCACTTAGTTTGACCCAATAACAATTTAAGCACCATTGACTAGTTTGTAGGTTTGTTACGAAACATACTGGGGATGCCATATGACCCTCGATGGCCCCAAATGACTGGGATATAGAGGCATTGTGATTCTAAGCGGGGGTGGGGGGGTAGGGGTGGGGGTGGGGCGGGGTGTAAAGCTTATCAACCTCTCAGTGGAATTGTTCCATCTCAAACTAAGAGCTTGCAGCAATCAGTCATTTACTTAAATAATTAGTTTGCATGAAAGACATTTCACAATAGTGATACAGAAACCCCAAACCCAAGCCTGCCAGGAGATTCTCAAATCTCCAGGGACGCAAAAACCTTTTACTTGGCTATTCTTTGGGGGTTTTTTTTGGTCTTTTTTTTAATTCTTCAAGAAATGTTATTATGTTGTTTCACAATTACTACCCATGAGTTTTTTGCTCTAAAAAACCTCTTCATTTACATTAGAGTTTCATCAGGAGCTCGCTTCCCATTACCTATAAAAGCTGCCAAAACTGTGGTTTATAAACACAATTCCGCCAAATCTTTTTTTTTTTTTTTTGGTAGCTGAAAGTATACTACCTTTTCTCTTACATCTCTAGTATCACAGACTCTCCATGTTGGCCCACAAGCACCATCTTTCAAATGGATCAACAGCAGAACAGTAACTGTCAGATTTAAATGAAGAGTGCTAACGTAACTGGTTTAAGAGCACTAACATCTATAAACCATAATACGTGCCAGCATTTCCCCTGCCATCTGTAGTCAGCCAGTAACAAGTAAAGCCCTTTGGTAAAAGCTCAACTGTAAAACCTGCTCACAAAACTTCTGACAAAACATCATTTTGTGAGATTGGAAATATTTCCTAGCAACTTTGTCAACAACAACAAAATAAACTGAGCAGCTCAAAATCGAGATGGAGTCTTTTGTTTGGACTCTAATTGATCAATGATACTGCCCATAGGAAAGTGTAATACTGTGGCCAGAGAGCCTCAAATTAATCACTTTTACTTTGGCCAATCCCCAATCCAACACCACCATTTTGAAGGTTTGAAAACCAGAATTTCTTTTCTGCCATTTCAACTGTTCAGTTGGGAAGGGAAGGACGGGGATGAAAGGAAGGGATGGAGAATTTGATGTGTGGGAGGGACGCCAGTGACAGGAGGTCTTTTTGAACTGATTCTGTCAACAAACTCCTGAGCACCCAGTTTACTCAGCTGATTAAAGGGATTAAAAAGCAATCAGTATAGAGTCTGTTTTTTTCACAGGAACACCCACTGAGACCCAAATACAATCTATGACATCTGTGGAAGTAAAAACAACAACAACAACAACCACCATCCTAAGACAGCATAAAATCCTAGACCGTTACTGAACCTAGGCTGCTGGCTGCATTTTTCAAAAGAATTATTTTCACATGGTTCATG